CTTCTACATTTTCAATGTAGTCACTATATAACTTTATCATTTATTATGCAAGTTTTCTTTATATTTTTAATTTATTCATAGCTTTGTTTTTCATGAAACAATATGCTAATTTGTTGTATAAATAACTTTTGTAACAAGGTGTTTATTGATATATTAATTTGTTATAACCTTTAGTTTTTTTTTAATTTTGAAGCTTATGAATGAAATATTTTTTGGAAGTTTTAACTCGATGAATTATAACACACATTTAGTGTCAAAACGTATATAATAAATAGTTAAATTATTTGTTGTTTTTTATTTCAAATACTTGCAAATTAATTAATTATTCATAAAATCTAATTCAAACATATATTACTCTCTTTCAGACGCAAAAACTTGGTGGTTTGAAAGGATGCGTTCGTAGTTTTAAAGTCAACGATGCGAAATTGATTTAGTTGGAGGATTTATAGTAATGTGAGACAATGCTTTCCAAATGTTGAACGAGGATCTTACTTTGCTGGAGATTCATATGCCGTATATGGTAACATCAATAAAATCATAATATATTTCTTTGCGTATATATTATTTTATGATTTAAAGCAGTATATTATATGTTTATTTATTTATTTATTTATCCACTTTTATTTATTTATATATTGTTTTAGATAAGGAATTTGTTATAAACAAAGTTTTGGAATTGCAATTGGAGTTCCGAACGTCGATAACATCTGGAGTCTTGTTGAGTATTGCTGATCAGTCTGGAAACAGCATTGTCTTTAGAAATCAATGATAGCAAGGTATTACATATTCCATAATCTACACGCACGATCACACACACACAACAACGTTCATTATATATATATATATATATATATATATATATATACAGTGCTGGATTTACAGTAGGGGCAATCGGGGCTACTGCCCAGGGCGGCAAATTTTGGGGGGCGGCAAAATTTGGATAGTGAGAAAAAAATTCTATACAATATAATCAACTTTTTTTAAAAAACATTTTTTATTTCAAGAAATATCATTAACAAAACATAATACGATTGCAATGCAAAATTTGGGCTGAAATAACCGATAACTAAAATTTATTATTTTGCCTTGCCTCCTTCTCCGAACGTACATTATCAAATTGGTTAATAAGTTATCAAAATTGGCAATTTGGCTAATTTGGCTAAAATAAAAATCCGTAAACAAGCTGAAAGTTTGAGAAAAATATGTTCTTCAGTTCTCAAGCCCTCTTAAAATAACGAATTTGTGCACTTCCAAACTTATAGCGTCGAAAAAAAATTAAACTAGTGACTCATGGCATTGTGCCTTATGACAAATTACTGAAACATCGCATACTAAAAATTACATTTTATAAAGAGCTTTAAATTTTTTTGAAAAATGAAAAAAAAAGACTTTTAAAATACATTTTTTGTATTTTGAAATTTTTCGAAAATTATGAACTTTTTGCAAAGTAATCGCGCTGCGTAGCTATTTCATAGAAGAAATATCGAAACTCAATTATCATTTTTTGTAATTGCCTGTGCCAAAAGCTAATCAGCACGTCTCTCCATCAATACAAATCTAATATTTTGTAATTATTCAACCGATTTCGAGAATACGGATCAACCGATTTAAATGATTCAATTCCTATTGATAAGGAGACGTGCTGATTAGTTATTGGCCAAGGCAGGTCTAACCGTTTTGAAAATACGGGCCAAAATGCCAAAAATGATAATTCAGTTTTTAGAAAAAAAGGGTCAAATATCATTCAAAAAAAAATTACAGAATAAATAACTGCTTAAATTTGTGGGGGGCAGGTTTAGCGGTTTCGATCATCCAATAAAAAAATTTGAAAAAAAAGAAACATTTAGCGGACAAAAGTGATCATATGCACATATGCACATTAAATTATCAGATATTTTAAAGCTATTATAATAATAAGTATAAATTTTGTTTACATATATAAGTATTTTGTAACATTGTTTATCCTTTAGACTGCGACGCGGCGCTTACGCGCTTCTATATTTTGTCCCTACGCAGCTGAAGCAGCGCGATTGCTTTAAAAATAGTTCGAAAGTTCGTAAAATTTCAGGGATGGGGCGGCATTTTTGTCAGTGCCCCGGGGCGCCAAATTTCTAAATCCGGCCCTGTATATATATATATATATATATATATATATATAAAAGTCGATAATACGATTTAACTTAAGTTTTCTTATTGACTAAGATTGAAAGTCAATGATTTTTACCAAGATTTTTTCACAACGTTGGTTTATTTTAATTTGCAGATAATTATGTCGGTGGATTCTGGTAACGGATCTCCTTTAGTATTAGCAAGAGAATTGCCTTTGTTGTGCGATAATAAATGGCACAACATATCGGCATTATACGATTCTGAAGAACTGTCAATTCGAGTTGATCAGCTACTACCGTGGTCAAGAGTCAGGGCGCCTCCTGGACATGACATGCCTATATTTAAAGGTCCTTTATATATAGGAGGACTGCCTGGTTTGTATTATTTAATTTACTTTATTATTAAGGCAATTATTCCTTTAATCTCTAAAGTTAAATTCATAAAAACAAAAAAGTATAGATTTTAACTTTTAATATGAAACAAATCTAATTTATCTTAATTTTCAAGTGTAAATTAAATTTTACATTTTTTTCAAAACCATTTTGCGTTTAAGATTATGTTCTTTTTATGTATATTTTTTTTAAATTTTACTGAGTCTTCGAAGTTTAGTTTTTAAACACTGATAATTTTGGTTTACCATGGAAAGTATTTTTTGCACACTTCATGAATCTTGCGCTAAATATAGACGAAGCTGTCTTGCAAATTCGGGTCCAAAACAATAAAATTGTTGGGCAGAAGCTAGTGTTTATTTTGTATATATAAAATTTTTAAATTTTGAACAAAATGCATTTTTTGTAAAAGTTATATCGTACCGATATAAGCATATTTCGATGATTTGTTAATTATGAGCACATTGTTACATTGCCAATATCGACGACTCTGTTATTAGCGTATATAAAAATAAGTCGGGTTTTCCTTCCTGACGATATAACTCCTGAACGCACGAACCGATTTCGACGATTTTGCATTGGTAGGAAAGGTCTCGGGCTCCGTGAGGTTTATAGTAAAGAAAAATGAAGAAAGATTCCAACAGAAAAGTGGAAAACACTTTTTCTTTTTTTTACATACATCGTCATCTTCGATACTTAGCATGTACTGCAAACTAATATTTTTTGTTTGAGTGCTACTCATGTGTTTGACAGCTACTCATTGTTCTCTGCTCAGTTAATTTCATATGACAAACCGGCATTATGTTCACTGTGAAATTGTGCAAAAAATGTAAAAAAATAAGTTATTCGTTTCCTAACATTTCAATTGGAAACCATCAAATCAATCACGTGTATTGTGCAAATTTTTATTCACTTCCAACAGCAGGTAATTTTTTTCATTTTTTAATCACTAAACGAAATTTTACATAAAGTGAAACCATCTGGTGGTGAAACAGAGTTCGCCCGGTTTGCTAGTTATTTTATTTAATTTTGGCATACAGTTTAAACAAGCTAGTGAGCTTTCATATTAAACCGTTGTTGTTGTCCAAATGTGTACCGTTTCTCAGAAATAGCAAACGATAAGCGAATTTGTGTGGTTGAACGTAGAAAAAAGCTTTCAAACTTTTTAATTCATTTGTTAATATATATAGAAGAGTAATTGTGGTTTTTTATATTCCTTTAATATGTAGCTTCAAATTATCGTTAAGTAAATTTTTGAAAATATAAACTAAAATGACTTATGTGATACTTGTTTCGATTTGTCTCATATGAGTCCGATTTGTTCGCATAACTATTTTACGATGACAGTGTTTCATTACAACAGTGAACATCAATTAAAATTTGTGTATCTATTTTATTTTAATAAATTAGTATGAAATCGTAAATTGAAAACGAAATATAAATAAATGATATCGAAATGGAAGTAACAACAATAATTTTTTTTTCTCTCAGAACAGCATATGGACGTTACTGTTGGAAAACATTTAGATTGTACTTCCTCTTGTAAACGCTGCAACAATGAAAACCAAACGTCAGGCGAATTTTATACGAAATTATATGAGAAATTCAAAATTTGTTAAAAAGTTTTTCATATTATTTTACTATTTGATGTTGTAACATTGTGATCCTTGCCATTTAACAGAGTACCCCAGATACGGGGTTCATTGTTGCAATTGATCGATCTGACTAAAGTGTAATTGAAATGAAAATGTCACTAATAATAAAGTAATGGTCCAATTCGACCGTAAAACGGACCAAAGTTATGGCAAGGCTATGTTACCCTGCGTTTTTCATATAAACTATCACTAAAAACTGTCCAAATGATTTGTAATTACTGCGCAGTCAGGCTTTTTAGACATATGTTAGATATTTTGGAATTTAGAATTAAATATTTTAAAATAGACATTGGTCTATTTTACGGCTGAATTGACCCATAATTTGGCTTTAAGCAATACGCATTAAGCCGTTGATACGACATTAATAAAATATGAATAAAAAAACACGAAATTATATTAAGGAGGTATTCTAGTGTAGAGCGATGAATTTTAGTTCATTTTTAAAGTGTCGTAAAAGAAAGCAATGAATGTTTTTACTATTAATTTTTTTACCACTTGTTTATTAATATAATTAAAATACAATACAAAAATTAAAAAAAAAAATGAATATTGAAGAAACTGGCAGCCGATGAAGTGAGTGGTCACAAAAAATTGGCACCTCAGTCTTGACATGATTTCAGCCCTCTTAGCCATCAGAAATAAAAGAAATAAAAAGATTATTAAATTACAATGTTGTCGCAATAGCTCGATCTAGCGATGAGTAAAAAAATCTTTTTTTACAAATTGGCGACTGTTTGAAAAAAAAGTGTCTTTTTTACTGTTTTTTTGAGTTTCACGAAATTTTTAAATATAATAAAAATTGGAATTTGGGAATGATGCTAGTTTGGGCTATAGATAGGTCTATGAACAAGACTCTCTCTGAACATTTCAAGTGAATCGGTCGAGTAGAACTTGAGAAGTCGTGTCAACAGTACTGAAAAAGTCTGTTCTGAGAAAAACGCATTTAAAGTTTTGCGTGAAGCCACACCAGTATGGAGACCGAGTCAGTAAAATGCCTATATCTCCGAAAATAATTCAAATTTTCAAAAACCTTCTCGTACCCATATTCTTAGATAGTTAAACTTTGAAAATATGAAATAAAAAAATAGTTTTTTTTATTTTTACACTAGAATACCCTTTTAATATTATCATATGTTTGTTCTTTCAGACGAAGCTACGAGTGGCAGTCTAGTTACCAGGGACAATTTCAATGGATGCATAAGAAATGTTGCTCTTGAGGGAAAAATCAAGGATTGGACGGACATGGATAGTCTGCACAATGTCCTCCTAGGTTCATGTCCTGTTGCACATTGATGCACGTAAGACTAAAATATAATTTTATTATACTTAGTTAAAATAATCAATAACTCTTCAATAGATAATTGAAAATCGTTACTTTACATTCATGTTTGGAAAATGTCAATCCTGGCATAAAAAATATTAAAAATATTTTGTATTTACTTTGCGGAAATGATAATGACCAGTGCTAATGAAATTAAGAACGTCACGTATAATTATTACGTCTTACGTATTTTCAAATATTTGTGAAATCAAAAGCAAACGCTTAGTCAGTATTGATATGAATCGAACAATAATCACAAATTATAATTTATTTTATAAAGTTTCTTGTTGTTTATGATAGAAAAGTATTTATATAACAATTAAACATTAAACATATTATGAGTCATAGTGTAATTATTACGTATTAAGAATTAATATTATTTATAAAGCCTTATCTAATGTTTATATAAATAATAAATTATAGATTGCAAACGAAACAACAAATATTGTATAAATGAGAATTATTGCATTTTAAATAATATTTAAGTAACTTTAAGTAAAATTATATAAAGTCAAATTTTTATATTATATTGACGGTTTGTCATTTTTTGACTATCTTGACATGAATGTCGTTGAGAGAATCGTTCACGACCTGCTCCTAATATTTTTTAACCTTATTCGTAAGTACAAAAAGTTTAGGTACATCAAATTTGAACACCGATTACTTTTCAAGGAACTAAATATTCACATATTTTTTTATGAGTTCCAAAGTATTAGTTCGAAATATATGTGGATGAAGCTTTATTTTGAAAATTTTCATAAATGTTATTTTTTTTCATAGACAACGCACGAAGTCATATTAATGTTGAATGAGTTAATATAAATATGAATAAATTTGAATAATTTTTTAAAAAACTACATAAATTACCAAAATAATTTTACGTAATTTGAACTAATACTTTTAGTTTTTAATTTTTAACAAAATACACGGGATGATGAAATTACCATTTCATAATTATAGAAATTGTAGAAAATATTCTGAGTCATGTTCATGAACGGTTGCTCTTCTTTAATGTTACTTTATTGATTGTAAGTTACGTTGTTGCATTTAAAATGGAAAATAATAATTATGAATATAATATATATCACAATTTTATTAAACCAAAGAATATGAATATAAATAGTTTTTATAGAATAAAATTTACCATACTATTTTTAAATTAATCTATTCAGGTTATATTTATTTGCAATTCACATTTCTTAATGCATATCAAAGATTCTCTTCCAGATATTGAAGGGTACATGTACCTTATACATTATATTAACGTTTTAAATGTGTACAAAGCTTTACTTATTATTAAAATTATTTATATGTCCAATACAGTTAGTGATAATTTATCTTTAGTCAAATCATGAATAATATGAATGCATATTTAATGACCTAGTTAAGAAGGTTTGCTACTTAATTCTGTAAAAAGTGTTCGATGTATATATTTTAGCTTAACATACTTTTATAAAACTAAAACTTAGTTATAAGTCAGCATACAAGAACTGCCAATATTATTTATAAAATACATGTTAATAATTAAATTTACATTTACAGTCATTATCTAGTATAAAGTAATTTAGTTAGCTTAAATTCAAACGAGAAGGGGCCAAATGTATCACTATTTGCGCTGTAATATATATATATATATATATATATATATATATATATATATATAATGTAGTCGTATCGTGTATCTTTTCTAAATGGGTAATCCTGCAAAGTAATTCTAAAAACTAAACTGAAATTGAATAACATCATGCGAGTAATTCTTGCCAATTTTTTATTTGTATTTCTATGCAATATTAAAACATTATAAAGTTATTATATTGAAAAATTTTTTACAAAATATTTTACATGATAATGCTATAATATGAAATAAATGCTTTTATTGCTATTTATGCAATAGAAAGCATCTGTGAATATTTTATACTTGTTAAAATAATAATTACGTGCCTATTTAGATACAAATAAATATTTTGTAATAAAAAATTAATATATAAACTCTTCTGATAAAATTATATTGTGTTTAAATAAATTTTATTTTATGAAATTTTAATGTGAATCTTGATAAGTTTTTCAGAAATTGTTTCTGCCAACGCTTCAGTTTTGGGACAACCTGATATTAAGCAGATGTGATATAGATTTTTATTAGAAAATACAGATTTCTAGCTCTTGTCGGCAATACAGCAATAAGTTAAAATATAGCATTACTATTAGAAAGAAAAACCATTGGGTTGTCTTCTGATACAAAATGTATCAAATAGATAAGGCAGCCATGGGATTGCCTTTTAAAAGCGATATTGAGAAGAAGTATCATCACGACAGCTTATTTGTTCTTATTGCTTTTCAAAGAGAGCAATCAAAATATTTTCTATGTTTTTTTTTTTTAATTTTTACAGCATTTCTCGAGCGATGCAAAACAAATAAAGATTACCAAACTAACTAAATTTAACCAAATAATCAGAACCATTTTTAGTGAAACGATAACTCATGTTATCCAACGTCTTCGAGCTAAAACTGATTGACGTCAGTTTTCAAGAGTTTGATCACCAGCCTGTTTGTCAAAGATTTTAATCTTGTAAGTATATATATAAATACGTACTTAAAATTTACACGTGCTATTATATGCTACATTTTTCTTATTGTTGACAAAATATTATCGATAAGCTTGTGGTTAATAATAAAGTCTGTGTGTGTTAATTTATGTAATTATAAATGCATTTATTTTACATTCTCCAGTAGACGATAAGGAGAAAATTATATGTACTAATATAAATATAAATATATTACTCACTATAAATACATGAGTCAAACGTGACCTAATATATTTTGAAAATTTTGTCCAACGATATTTACTGTAATTAGTGAACGGGGGTTTTGCTATACATGCCAATAACAATGACTCTATTAACTGCGTAATATAATTTGTTTTAATAACACCCATTAATGGTTTTCTTTGGCCATTTTGTAATAAACAAATAACATAACTGAAATCTAATACATCTTTATTTGTTATAATGCCAAAAAAAAATATAGAAAATGATATTTTAGAGAGGTTTTACGTATGATCCAAAAATTGAGTACAATATTTTATTATGGTTCGTAATCGCACACAAAAATTGATATAGAATAGAGCGGGGTTTAAAGGTCTGTTGGTAAAAAGATCCACCACCAATATCACAAAAACAAGTAAAGTTTCTTAACTTTTAACAACAATATTTGAAAGTAGAGGGAAAAAGACGTATAATTAGTTATCACTTCTATTATTATAAAGGGCAATGTTTGAAAATACATAACAAAAGTATTATCTTTCGGAGTTAGTTTCTTTGGTTGTAAGCACTAATGTATAGTTTATGATAACTGAATATAATTTTTAAGTATTTGTTATTTAATTGTTTTATAAGATGTATTGTTAATATTAAGTTAGATTCAATAAAACAGTTTTTAACTTCTCGTAGGGTAGTTATGGTAATGGGCGGAAAATCAAAAATGAAAATTTTTGCATTTCTCGACGTTTTGACGGATTGTGAACATTTTGGCATACCTCAGAAAAAATGTATGCATGTGTGTGCGTTTGTGTGTGTTTTTTTAGGTCAGCATTTTTTCGTCCTCGTTTTCGGGCGCACGGATCAACCGATGTGAATGGTTCAGAAAACATTCGATTTCTATTGAAAGGAGATGTGCTGATTAGTTTAGCAAAGGCAGGCCTAGCCGTTACGGAGATGCAGAACAAAGAGTGCAGAAAATGCAAATCGATTTTTTGAGAGGACGGAGTATCCTCCGGGGTATTTCTTTTGGAAAGAAAAAAAATATTTTTTTTTTAAATTTTTTTTTGTTTATCGAAAATAATTCAGATTTTAATTTTAATTCTATTCAAATATACTTTAAACAAATAATTTCAACTTTGCAATTCAGTTTATATAATTCTTATAAATATAATATTAAACAATGTTACAATATTTATAAAAATCTATTTGAAAACATTTAATATTCCTCGATCATTTCGTCACAGTACGGGAAGTTCCAGTAATTTGCCCTAAGGCACGATGCCATACATCACTAGTTTTATATAACCTCTATAAACTCTTGCACGTGGACGGCGTAAAAAGGACCAGCTGAACTTTTACCCGGACAAAGGTGTAAAAATAAGAAATACTGAATGAAAAAGTAAATTAAGCAAAAAAGTTATTTTACAAGGAATAAATTAAATAAATAGCTATTTCAACTCTGCTTATGAAGCTGGGAGTTTTATTGAACATAGTCAAATATAGTTAGTATAGTTTTTACAATATAATTGCTCAAAGTCAATTTGGGTCTTTGTGCCCCACTCTACCCTATAGTCTATATAGCCCATGGTATCATTTATCTACAACGTTTTCAAGAAATCGAATCAGAATCAGATATTATTCCATTTATAAAGACATTGTGAAGTTCTCATCATTCCGTTCAACTAATAAAAACAACAATAATAACTAATAAAATATTTATTGCACTGATTTTACTATTTTTACAGAGCATTTTTAATGATTTGTTATTTTTGTTGAATGTTCGATGATCCATTTTTATAAAACTAAAACAGAACTACAGATCAGGGATATAAAAAACTGCAGATTTTCACTCAGGTTTACATTCTAGTGTACAAATAATATTCTCTATTCGTTCTAGTATACAAAACTAGTAAAACATGCAATTCACTTAAACTATTTCGCCTGTCAGAAAACTTTTGATCTGTATTTAGAATATAGAATTATTTTCAAATATACCTTGCAACATGAAATAATGATATAAAATAAATCGTTATTTCGGAAACATTTGAAAAGTATCAAATAAACCAAGCATGGGCGAACTTCAACTTACGTTTAACTGACAATGATGAATATTAATGTAATTTTTAATAGTAATTATTAATTTATTTTTTTAAAGAATTTGCCCGATGAACGTAAATATTTTCTCACACTATAGCAATCGTATGAAGAATTATAATGGTTTTGTTTCAAATTTATAATCGATAATTTTAATGCTGATAACTAACGATATAAAAATATTTAATAAATACTTTTGTTGCAGTATGGTTAACTTTTTTCAATTGACCATATTAGTAATTATTTAGAATTGATAACTGATTTTTATGA